ATTTTTACAAAAATCTGACTTTTAAAAAATTCAAAACTTTTTGGAGATGAATTTTAAAATTGTATATGGATTTGAGTAAACCATACCGCAATTTCCTAATTGATTAATGGAAATAGCTATTTTGTCAAAAACCTAATGGTTTTGGGGTTGGTTTCCGACGTTACTGACGTACATATATATTATACGTCGGAAATGTATGTCATTTACGTTAAAGTTTCTGACGGATTATCTACAAGGATTTCTTGTTACAGAATTTCTATTTTTATTACAAGTTATTTTTTTATTAAAAAAAGTGCTGGAACACAGACAAGTCAACATCCTATCTTCACCCCAAACAAAACGAAAACCAAAAATGAAATAAAAAATACAAATTGTTATTTTTTTGTTCAAAAAAATTAATTACAGTAAATGTTTTATTTACAAAGTTTTGTTGTTGTTTTTTGTAGGTTGATAGTAGTTTGCAGAATTTGTGTCGCTTTAAAAATAGAAAAAATGTATTTAATTAATTTTGTTTTATGAAATACAAATTCTTAAAAAAAAATAAAGAGATAAAAAGCTTAACAATTAAAATAAAATTTGTTTTTTAATTAATAATATTCATTATTATTATTATAAAAAATAAAAAAAACATATAAAATATGATTTTTTTAAATTTATTTAAAAAAATAGTTATAAAAACATTTGTTTTTTTTATTATTTATTTAAATAAGTATAATAGTATTGCAATAACATAATTAAATAATAATAGAAAAATAATTAATATATATATTTTTTTTAAAAAATGTGATGATTTTGTTGTTTTGTATGATGAAATGATTTTCAGTTTTGTTTAAATATTTTTTTTTTCAATTTTTCTTTTCTGTTTTTCAAATAAATTTTTGAAACATTTTATAAATGTTTTTATAGTTGCTTTTTTCCATTATAATATATGTGTATTCTTTTTAAAACATTTTATAAATGTTAAGAAGTAAAGTTTTTTTTTTAATTTAAAGGATGTCCATTTTGTTGTTGTTTTTTACTGATTTAATGCAGGGTGATTTGTTGTTGTTTGTTTTGGGTTTGTTGTATCATGATTGGCATTATTTAAGCTAAAATACTTTTATTTTTATAATTTTAATTCTCATTTTTTATTGTTGTGTTTATTTGTTTATTATTATTTTAATTACACAATGAATGATATAATTTTCTTGGGGGGGGAGGAGGAGGTTTCAGTGTGTTTGATTATTTATATTATTTCAATTTTGCTACCGTTTACATCAATAACATTTTTGTTGTTGCTTTTTTTTTGTGATGTTAATTTGTTTTATTTTATTTTAATTTTTTTTTTTTTTGATAAAATTTAAATGATCCCATTTCACGGTTTTTTGTTGTTGGTAAATTACACTGTGCTACAGCGAAAAAAAAAACACAATATCCGATTATTTTTTTTAAATGTATAAATCCATTATCAAACGAAATTTCGATTAATTAGAAATTCTGGAAGATTCTGGAACATAGCTATGGTTATATTGAAGTTACATAAATAAGGTCAGCCAAAAAGAGAAAACAGCTGTTTAATGTCAAAAGCAGCTGATTTTGCATAATCAATAATAAGGTGATGTTTCAAAACAAAAACCTTTTGTTTTTGTCTCGACCTTCTGTCAAATTCTTCCTTAAAATATTTCACATGGTTGGCAACATTGCACATCGAATTCATCGTGATGCAATAATAAGGTGATGTATCAAAACAAAATCGTTTGTTTTTGTTTCGATTATCTGTCAATTTTTTCCATATAATATTTCAAATGGTTGGCAACACTGCACATCGAATTCAATGTCATCAGGGACCAGCTGGTACTCCATCGAGTTGCCAAAATACTTTTGAATTTGAATTAAAAAATACGGATATTTTTTTTTGTAAAAATCAGTTCAATTTTTTCCACAAAAAGGAGCGAAAAAAGCTGTTTCTCGGATTTTAAAAATTCTTATTAGTGAAAATTACACAGTAAACATTTTCAGGAACATCAGATGGTTTCTGTAAAGTTTCTATGCTTCATATTGTTATTGGAATTTTGAAATTAATTTAATTCCTTTCCAGTAAGAAAACACTCTTCATTAAACGATATTAGAATATATATCCACTTCCATATAATGGCAACTTTTCCGGATATGGTCCTTCCAGAGAAAATAGAATTAAAATATAGGCTCTGTACCTGTACGTTTTTTTTAATGGTTAAACTAGTGAAAATCGCTCTCTGTTGTGGTACAGAGTTGTCCATATTCGACGGACCCATCTGGCAACGCCATAACTTTTGACAGAGATGTCACATCGCTTAAGGACATACCGTGTTTGAAGCGTCAGTCCAAGCAGATTTTTACCATGAAGCAATACACGCCACACGAGCGCTCTGAAATAGGTGAAATTTACATTCAACAGAAGAAACATTAAAAAATGTGGGAAGTGCGCCTTCTAAGAACACCATAAAGCGTTTATACGAAAAATTTTCGACAGGTAAGGCTCTTTCTAATCCGAAGAGGCCATATAAAAGTCGACCAAGGCGATCGGCCGAGAAAATGGCTGCCTTACGAGCCAGTGTTGAGAGGTCCCCAAAAACGCCGTTCTCACCAGTTGGGCATGGCTCGATCCACTTTACAACGGATTATTCGCATTGATTTGCATTTGTTCCCGTACAAAATTCAATTGACGCAAAGAATGTTGCCTGCGGACAAGCCTCGTCGATTGGAATGGGCCCAAAGAGTCATCGAAATGGCCGAAGATGACGAGCAATTTTGGAACAAAATTATCATGTCCGATGAAGCTCATTTCACATTGAATGGGACCGTAAATAAGCAAAATTGCCATTTACGCCACTGAAAATCCTCAGGAGATTCAAGAAGTACCTCTTCATGACGAAAAAGTCACAGTTTGGTGCGGCGTTAGTGCGAAAACGGTCATTAGGCTGTTTTTCTTCCAAAATGAAAATGGCCATGCTGTTACCATCAATCAGGAGCGTTATCGCGACATGATGACCAATTTTGTGATACCAATTATTCGTCGAAAGCGTATGAGGCAGTTCTGGTTTCAACAAGACGGCGCTCCACCGCACACAAGTCGCATAACAATCGATTTTCTGAAGAATTTGTTTCCGGGCCGTTTTATGTCGAAAAGTGGTGATTTGGACTGGCAACCGCGTTCGCCCGATTTGACGCCGCCTGACTTCTTCTTGTGGGGATATTTGAAGTCAAAGATTTACGTTAACAAGCCAAGGACCGAAGAAGAGCTCAAGGACAACATTCGTGAAGAAATTGCCGCTATTCCGGCCGAAATGTTGGCAAAAACGATGGAAAATGCAGCAAAAAGGGCACAATACGTCATCAACGCCAGAGGCGGCCATTTGAGAGATATCATATTCAAAAATTGATGTAAACAAATCTACTTGGAACAAATTAAATGATTAACATTGTCAACCGCCAAATTTATATTTTTTTCTTTGATTTTTTTTTAAACATGGGTCCGTCGAATATGGGCAACCCTGTATAAATTTGCATTGAAATGTTGGTAGCACTGCTGATTTTAACCTATGGCAACTCAATTGAGAGCAAGGGAGAAAATTTGAATATGACGCTGAGCAAAATGGAATAAAATCTATTCTAGCGTCAAACTGCCAGACGCGAACATCAGCCGTCGGGATTTTCCGTTACCAATAAGCGTCGTTTTATATTTGTCGGGATCGGGATCGGTGTTGAGAGTTTCTCTCTCTTGAGAGAGTAATTAGAGTTGCGTTATTTTTAATTTTGTAACAAGCGTACTTTTTGTTCACAAAAGGTACAAAATGACATAAACGTACCAAAACAAAAATTAGATTTTTTATTATTCGTGAATACATTTACGCTTAAATTATAACATATATTATTTATGCAAATAACTGGTATAAATATTGGCCAATATTTCTCGATAATTATGATTTATTATCATTTGAAGTAGAATTTTAGGTACCTTTTCGTACTTTTTTGTTCCTACCTGTGGTAATGTTTTCCAACACAATTCACAATTTACCACTGAGAGAGAGAGAGAGAAACTCTCAACACCGATCCCGATCCCGACAAATATAAAACCACGCTAAGAAACACACGCTAAACGACCGTCTCTGACTCTAGATTCTCTGGTTGTGTTTAGACTCTAATGTTGGCAGGTATTATTTTTCATATGCCAGATCTCGGTTAAAAAATGGTGACCTCTAATTAGGGCAGAAAATATAGACAATTTATTATGAGTTGCACGAATGTTTAGTGATCCTTCGATTATAAGGAACTTTGACAATCGGATGCAGAGAAAAGCTAAAAAAGTAGTTTCATTTTGTCAGAATTTAAGGAATCCTTTTGTAATAGCGCGCCGATTTTTTTTACCAAAATTGTGAAAAAAAATCCGAACAACAATTTTGGTTAAATTTGTAATACAATATTTTTATGTGAATTCTGGGCATTTGTCTTCTGGGGGTAACCCTATGATATACATTAGAAAAAAGCCGAACATGACCATATTTGACCGCAAAGTGTTTATATAAAATCAGTAGGTTTTAATCATTTAATCCCTGTAGCACAGTGTATTTATAAATGTGAGTGTGTGTGTTTCTTTGCAATTTCTTAAAAAATATTTAAGATCTAAAAAAATAGAAAATTGAGGGGCAAAGGATGAGGAGGTTCAAATCTCTTTGAGTTTTGGGTTTTTGCTTGGCCTTTAACAGCTAATTTTTTGTTGTTATTGGTTTTTTCTCATTCAAATATTGTTTTTCTTTTCATTAGATTTCTAATAATATTTATTGATTTGTTGTTTTTGTTTTTTTCTCATTACTTAATAAATTTAAAGATAATAGTCTTATTAAATTGTTGTTGTTGTAAATTTCCTTTATATTCATTTGTTGTTTTTTGTTGTTCTTATTGCAGTTATTTTCAAAGAAGTTCATAACTTCTCTGGGTGTGTGTGTGATACTCTGGGTCCTTGATGTGATTGGTTGTTGCTGTTTAATTCTCTTCTTCCATAGGAATGTCAAATAATTCCGCAAACAATGGTGGCAACCGGGGCTTTGTTATCCTCAACCAATTACAATGGGCACTGTGTTTCAGACCCAATGCTCTCAGTTCGGGTATTTTAGCCTCCAACGCGGGCATCAGCTGTAGCGCCTGCGTTGTACCGTTACGTGATCGTACGATTTGTACGCGCAGCGCTTCCGTAATACGTTCTCGTGTTCGGGCGATCATTTTCGCCTCAGAGATGCCAGGTCGATCGGAGGCCAATAGGACCATGGCCGAGAAGAGGCCAATCTCAGTGTCACTGAGACCGTACACGTTGATGGTGTTGGCAAAATTGAACAGGGAGACCACAAAATCGGTCTGAAATAAAAGGAGAAAATTTGAAATTTTTTTTTTTGAAAAATATTTTTATTAAAAAAAATAAATATTTTATATTTTTTCTCTCAATACTCACATCATAAATAATTTCCAAATGTTGCCGCGTCAAATACGTGCCATCGTCGAAGGTCAGTGTGGAGTCGGTTATCAGACGGGCCACATGCGTTAGCCATGTCTCGAAGAAGCCCATTTTGATGAGTATCAGCTGATCGTCTTGCGTAAAATCACAGAATCCAGGTAAACGTTTGGCGAACTCGACAATGCGCTGGACGTTGGGTGTAACACGCGCCGCATACTGCTGCCAGAGCCACATCTTTTGAAATTCCATATTCTCCGATACTGAAGATATTAACTGTAAATGAGAAAGGGAGAAGGAGACGGAGAGAGAAGGGGGAGAGAGCTCATAAATGATAAATGGCAGAACAAAAGAACGAATGATTTCAAACACACAAATCAAGCGAGACAAATTGGCCAATGGTCGGCTGGCTGTTGAGTGGCTGGCTTGGCGGTAATGATGTAATAATCTAGGCCAAATTGAAATGTTACAACAAAAAGTAGAATGAGGTTTAAAGGTGGTGGTGTTGTTGTTGTTCGAAACAAAAGGCCTAAGGGGTTTTCGTTGTTTTGACCACCCAAATATAAATGGCCAAAAAATACTGAAATTATGAGAACTTATGAGAAATCCGTTAACATCAAAATGATTAATTATCTTGGAATCACCTCATATCCCACTGGAGTTCATTCAACCTGGCCCAAACAGATATTACAACACTATTTCAAGTTTACCGACATTTTGTCGCAAATTTCGAATCATTATTTTTGGGGGATTTTCCCTTCTACTTACACCATTGGGCGGTACATTTAAGGGTCGACGCATTAAATCTCTGGTCTGCTCCTCCGTATAGGCACAGTTCATGCGATGTGCCTGCGATACGCACATAATCACATCGTAGACGGTCAGATCGGTGCCACCATTATTGCCGGCCATCATAGAGGCCGTCGTCGTCGCCGCCACCGACGTTCCATCATGGCTGTGATTGTGTAGATGGACAGCCGCCGCAGCTGCTGCCGCCGCCGTCGCATGATGATGGTGGTGATGATGATGGTGCAGCGTCGCATGATGATGGTGATGATGATGTGGGTGACCTTCGTGAACGGTATTCAATTGCTGTGAATTCATATTCGACCCATTGCCAATGCCGACGACCATGCCCCCGCCGCTACCGTTCGAGGGGCCGCCAACGCCGACGACCAATTGTGATGAGTTTGTGTTGTTGTTGTTGCTGGTGGCATTACAGCCGCCCAATTCGGATGGTGATGATGCTATGGAACACATTTGTGGCGTTTGTGGTGTATTCGGTGTTCCCGGTGTGCTGACACGCCGTAAATCACACGAATTGACTACAACTACAGCAGCGTTTGGATCCTCTGTGCTGGATGGCTGGCCGCCATTCAGCTCACGTGAACGTTTTGGTACGCGACCATAACGCACAGCTGGAAAGGGAGAGAGGGAAGAAGGGGTTTTGATTAGTAAAAGGATAAAAACAGATTTTTTTTTAAATAGCAATAATGGGAAGCTATTTATGTGGGCCTATGGGATAATTTTAGACCGATGGGTCTCATACAGAAAAAATCGTTCTGAGGATTTTTTTCTACAGACTTCTATGAATATTGATGATTTTTTTTTCTATAGAAAAAAGACTCCTCAGGGTATTGAGGAATTTTTTTCTATAGAAAAAAGACTCCTCAGGGTATTGAGGAATTTTTTTTTTTCTACTGAGGATTTTTTTCTAAAAAAGACTCCTCAGGGTACGGAGGAATTTTTTCTATAGAAAAAAGACTCCTCAGGGTACTGAGGAATTTTTTTCTATAGAAAAAAGACTCCTCAGGGTACTGAGGAATTTTTTTCTATAGAAAAAAGACTCCTCAGGGTACTGAGGAATTTTTTCTATAGAAAAAAGACTCCTCAGGGTACTGAGGAATTTTTTTCTATAGAAAAAAGACTCCTCAGGGTACTGAGGATTGAAAGATTCCTCAGGGTACTGAGGAATTTTTTCTATAGAAAAAAGACTCATCAGGGTACTGAGGAATTTTTTCTATAGAAAAAAGACTCCTCAGTATACTGAGGATTGAAAGACTCCTCAGGGTACTGAGGAATTTTTTTCTATAGAAAAAAGTGTCCTCAGGGTACTGAGGAATTTTTTTCTATAGAAAAAAGTGTCCTCAGGGTACTGAGGAATTTTTTTCTATAGAAAAAAGACTCCTCAGGGTACTGAGGAATTTTTTCTGTAGGAAAAAGTGTCCTGAGGATTTTTACTGTAGAAAAAAGTGTCCTCAGGTTCCCGATGAATTTTTTTTCTGTAGAAAAAAGTGTCTTCAGGGTCCTCACGATTTTTTTTCTATAGGAAAAACTCATCTTCGTCGCTTTGAAAAATTTTTTGTTTACAAAAGAACATTAAGGATGTTGTTCTATATTTTTGTTTTTTTTTCTTCGCCTTCTTTATCCTCCTTTTAACTGGCCACAAATTTAGGCCAAATTCAATTGAATTGGCATTTAAACAACGTCTGTCGGTGTGCTGACTTCAATGATTTGAGTTTCCAGCTAAGTAGTCGCGACGTTTGTTAAGCACTTTCCTACTTTGCTGCAGCCGGCGCGGCCGCCGATGCTGACGATGATGAAAAGTAGGCTATTGGATTGAAATGCAATGAATTTCTCTAGATTGCTTCCCATTCGCTTTTGAGTTGGCGGTGGTTTGGAAAACACGAGATGTTGTTTGCTATGACCATCCATCCATCATCACAGAATGTGTGTGTGTGTGAGTGTCTCTGAGAGTTGGAAGGTTGGTTGGCTGGTTGATTATCAGTTTGGTTTGGTTTAAAGTGATGTTGGCTTGGTTTGGTTTTTCCATTGGTATGACCAACGTAGCTTTAATCACTTGGGCTACTTTTCACTGAAATGACACTCGGGGCTACATGGCGGAAACATTACGTCCAAAAGTGGTAGTGAAACCAAAAAATTCCTTTAAAATTAAATTTGTTTTTGTTTTGCGAATCTCAGTGTGTGGTGGCCTAGTTAGGAGGATATTTAGAACGATTTTTTGATTTATTTATCTAACAAAATTTTGCGAAATAATTAAAGAATTTAGATCTTCGAGTGAGCTATAAAATGGTGCTATTAAATTATATATGTATTTTAAATATTGTTTTTGATTTATTTTCTTTCTTTTTGCATTAAAAAATCTCCTTGTGTTTCCTTAGAGACCCAACATCGTTTTTTTGTGCAACCCAAGCAGAATAATGACGTTATTCCTATTTATTTTATCATCATACAGGCATGATGGGTTATAAAATATTTATTATGTATGTATGGCTGTGTGTGTGTCTGTCTTTGGACAATAAAAATCTGGTTTCTTTTTATTTCATCATGTATGCCTATATGTATGCATGTAGTAGTGCGTTCCACAAATCAATTCAGAATTCTGGGTCAATGTCCCAAACTGATAACACAATAAAAGAAAAAAATGGGAAATGAACAAACCCGAAATGTTCCAATTGGAGAAGAAGAAGAGGAAGACTTTTGGGGGGTTTTCTTTGATTTCTGTTTCTGGAACCGCATTTCTGCTTTTATTGTTGTATGTTTCCTTTTTGTTTATTTGGGATATTAGGGAATTGTGCAATACCACAAAATAGATATAAATTTTATAATTGAAACGATAATGGAATATTGATTTTAATAAAAACCAGTAAGGAAAGCAGTAAAGCCGGACGGGACCGACTATATGATACCCTTCACCACTATGGGTATATTCAACAGATAATATAAATATGAACCGACTTAGATTCATTCACATACATAGCATTCTGTAATCTATATAAACTCTTCATTTCGATAGAAATGAGAAAAAAAATCGATTTAAAAGAAATCTCAATCGGGCACTCGTTGATTATTTGAAACCCAATAAACATGAAGTCGGTCGAATATATGGGCTATGTAAACATTTCTACAAAAAACAATTACGTCACTCTATACTCAATTTTGTACGTTATGCCAAATTTAGCGCCAATATGCCAAAAATGAGGAATTTGGGGCACCACTTAATTAAAATCGGACGAAAATATGAATGGAAGCTATATCTATACTGATTTCAAGGAAACTTGTCACAGTTAGTTTATACTACTTTTAGCACGTTTTGGATTCATCGGCCATATTTTGGGTCCTTGGTACAGCATTTCCTACAATTCGAAAGGTATATAGGGTCATCTTTTTAGACTCAATTCAGTACGCTTTTCCAAATTTCGCCCAAAATCGAAAGATATACACATTTACATTAAATCGGACGAAAATATATATGGGAGCTATATCTAAATCTGAACCGATTTTCATGAAACTTAGCACACATCATTCTAGACCTAATTCCTTACGCTGTGCCAAATTTCGTGCAAACCGAAAGGCATATAGGGACTTTGGTACACCATTTACCTTAAATCGGAAGAAAATATATGTGGGAGTTATATCTAAATCTGAACCGATTTTCACGAAACATGACACACATTATTCTAGACCTGATTCATTACACTGTGCCAAATTTCGCGCAAATCGAAAGATATATAAGGACTTTGGTGGACCATTTACACTAAATCGGACGAAAATATATATGGGTCCTATATCTAAATCTGAACCGATTTTCACGAAACTTGACACACATCATTCTATACTCAATTCAGTATGCTGTGACAAATTTCGTGCAAATCGAGATATTTAGGGACTTTGGTGCACCATTTACCTTAAATCGGACGAAAAAATATATGGGTCCTATATCTAAATCTAAACCGATTTTCACGAAACTTGACACATATCATTCTATACTCTATTCAGTATGCTGTGCCAAATTTAGTGCGAAAGGTATATAGGGTCATCTTTTTAGACTCAATTCAGTACGCTTTTCCAAATTTCGCCCAAATCAAAAGATATATAGGGACTTTGGTGCACCATTTACCTTAAGTCGGACGAAAATATATATGGGAGCTATATCTAAATCTGAACCGATTTTCATGAAACTTGACACACATCATTCTATACTCAATTCAGTATGCTGACCCAAATTTCGTGCAAATCGAAAGATATATAGGGAATTTTGGGCAGCATTTACCTAATATCGGATGAAAATATATATGGGAGCTATATCTAAATCTGACCCGATTTTCACGAAACTTAGTACACATCATTCTAGACCCAATTCATTACGCTATGCCAAATTTCGTGCAAATCGAATGATATATAGTGACTTTGGTGCACCATTTACCTTAAATCGGACGAAAATATATATGGGAGCTATATCTAAATCTGAACCGATTTTCACGAAACTTAGCACACATCATTCTAAGCTTAATTTAGTACGCCGTGCCAAATTTCGTGCAAATCGAAAGATATATAGGGAATTCGGTGCACCATTTACCTTATATCGGATGAAAATATATATGGGAGCTATATCTAAATCTAAACCGATTTTGACGAAACTATGCACACATCATTCTATACTCAATTCAGTATGCTGTGCCAAATTTCGTGCAAATCGAAAGATATTTAGGGACTTTGGTGCACCATTTGTCTTAAATCGGAAATATATATCTAAATCTGAACCGATTTTGACGAAATTTTACATACATCATTCTACACTCCATTCAGTACGCTGTGCATAACTTCGTGCAAATCGAAAGATATTTATGGACTTTGGTGCACCATTTACCTTAAATCGGACGAAAAAATATATGGGAGCTATTTCTAAACCTGACCCGATTTTCAGGAGTCGTAGAAAAATATATTCTAGGCTTAATTCAGTACGCTGTGCCAAATTTCTTGCAAATCGAAAGATATATAGGGAATTTGGTGCACCATTTATTTTATATCGGACGAAAATATATATGGGAGCTACATCTAAATCTGAACCGATTTTCTCCAATTTCCATAGGGTTCGTTCTTGGGCCAAACAAATGAGCTGTGCCAAATTGCATCCAATTCGGATCATAAATACGACCTGTACTTTGTTTACAATTTAACATGGACAGACAGACGGACGGGCATGCATAAATCGACTCAGAAAGTGATTCCATGCATATGCTCAAAAGTAACCATGTGTCTATCTCGTTTAATTTTGCCTGTTACAAACATATGCACAAAGACATAATACCCTGTACCACAGTGTGGTGAAGGGTATAAAAACCAGTTAGCGGAGCAGTATAGTCGGACGGGGCTGACCATATGATACCACACACAACTTCCATGAACATCGAACTTTATGTGGTACTACATTCTGAGCATGGGCAATATTTCGCGATGTTTGCACCCTCTTGACACACTAGACGACAACAAATTTTACCAATATTCAGTACAGTCCTTCTAATTACTTGTCCAGATTCCCTTCACCGTGGGTTTGTTTTGTGATGTTCGGCATTCAATTGTAGTCTGTAGATCGACTCGTAAAAAAACAAATTAA